TTGATATATGATCTACTCGAAGTTGCCACCAGTGAAATTTGCTATTCGGCGACAATATTAGTAGGTCGCCCAAAAATAATTTTTTGTGACGACAACAATTTTTTGTCACTGATAAAATTTTTAATTTTTAATTTATTTTATAAAAAAATAATTTAGCTATAATTTAGCCAAAAAAAAAATAAAGAGCCCGCGCCACCCCCTTTTGCCCTTCCCCTCCTTTTTCCCTACTTTTTCTTCTTCCCCTTTTTCGTTGTCTTCTCTCTGGCGCTGGTCTTCCATTAGGTTAATGTGCAATTAGTCCAAAAAGGTGTGCTCTCTCTCTCTCTCTATATATATATATGCACACATATAATAAATTAAAAATTCCCTTTGTTGTCTTCATCCTAACCACCGTTCTCCAAGAATTTGCAAGTGGTCAAAATGTATGGGCCTAGCCACCCTTCTCCAAGAATTTGCAAGTGGTCAAAAGGTATGGCCTCACTCTCACACACACTCATATATATGAACACATATAATAAATTAAAGATTCCATTTGTACTAATGTTATATATATAAACAGTTTGTATAATAAAATAAAAGTGTGTTTAAATTTTATCTCAGTCATATTTTTTTCCTTAAAATCATCACCAATCACTTACCTCAATCATCATCTCTTTGTCAAAATCAAACGTCAAATTATATCACTCATTTCTATCACATATTTAATTATTTATATATTTTCTTCCTAAAAAAATCACACTACTCATTTATATCACATATTTAATTATTTAATATTTAATAAATTTGTAATTAATATATTTTAAAAAAATTTAATATAGTGGGATTAATTTTTTGAATACTCAAATTTTATATTTTATTATGTCTTCAGACACGAGTTATGACTAATAAATAATAAACTAATTCTTGAACACTTGCAAAATTCTTGGTCTCGTGCCAAATGATTAGTTTATTGTTTATTGTTTATATATATAGCATTAGTACCAGGGGAATCTTTAATTTATTATATGTGTGCATATATGTGAGAGTGTGTGAAAGGGAGGCCCATACCTTTTGACCACTTGTAAATTCTTAGAGAAGGGTGGCTATGAAGAAGACAACAAAGGGAATCTTTCATTTATTATATGTGTGCATATATATGAGTGTGTGTGAGAGAGAGGCCCATACCTTTTAACCACTTGCAAATTGTTGGAGAATGGTGGCTAGGAAGAAGATCATAAAGGGACTCTTTAATATATTATATGTGTGCATATATACATACATACATATATATATAAATATATATTAGAGAGAGAGAGAGAGAGAGGGAGGGAGAGAGCATACCTTTTTGGACTACTTGCACATTAACCTAATGGAAGACTTGTGGCGGGGAAGAAGACAACAAAAAAGGAAAGAAGAAAAGTAGGGAAAAAAGGAGGGACAAGGGGGTGGAACTGGCTCTTTATTTATTTATTTTTTGGCTAAATTATTGCTAAATTATTTTTTATAAAATAAATTAAAAATTAAAAATTTTATCAGCGACAAAAAATTGTTGTTGCCACAAAAAATTATTTTTGGACGACGAACTAATATTGTCACCGAATAACACATTTCATAAATCAATCATTAATTGAAACATTATTTAATTTGTGACCACTAAATTCGTTGGCAAAACATAAACACCAATTGGCGCCAAAATGGGTTAATGGTGGGAATTGTTTTGCAACCACATTCAGCGACAAGTATAGATTGTTGTTGCCAATTTTTTTTTTAAAATAATTTTTGGTGACGAACTCTGATGTTGGTTGTGGAATGTCAGTTCTTGGCAAACATTTTTCTTATTCGTCACAAAAAGTTGTTGTAATAAAACATTTTTCTTGTAGTTATGAGATGCATGTTGATATTACTTCTGAATTTAATTATATGTTTGATTTCATTTTTGTTGTATGGATTTTTCATTATGTTCTGTATATTTTAAAATCTCTGTCTAGTTTAATAATTTTTTATTCAGAATTTATGCGTGTGTGTGTATATATATATTTTAAAATCTCTGTCAACAAATTTTTCAACATTTTTTTTCCTAAACAAACGGCATAGAAGTTCGTGATAATCAGAACGCAGTAGAAGATATGATAGTTGTTGATGATGTTTCAAACTCCACTGATTTTGATGCTATGGAGGAAGAAATGAAATCTAAGAAAAAAAATTTATTGTACTGGAGTAATGATCTTCTTTTAACGAGAGAGAGAGTGATAGAGAGAGAGAGAGAGAGTATAAAATTTAATTTCAATTTATGAGTGAATTAAGGGATACTAATTTTTAATTTAAGAAATTAATTTAAAACTACTTTCAAGGCTTTTAAGGTTTCTATAATTGAACAGAATAACACTGTTAAAGATATTTTTGAAATTTAAAAAAATAGTGGACTTAAATACTTATTTGTAAGATAAAAAATAGATTTATTACCAAATAAGTTTGCTTAATAAACTTAAGTTATTATAAGTTCATTCAAGAAGACTCAGTCCCATTTTCACTATAAATATGTAAAATTGATACTCAAAACAAATTAGAAAACTTGTCAATTTTTCCATTATATTTAAGCCAAAGATAAATTTTTACAGTCAACCGCCTCTTTTTTCATTAATGACCTTTTCATTTGTATTATTGTCAATCTTACATAAATATATTATTATATTTACTTAACCTATTGCCTCTCTATCTCTATGTTATTACCTTCAAAATTAAAAATAAATTACGCTACGACCTTGTGTTTGTACTTATCATCTTTCTTATTTGACTCTCTTAATTCTTTTTTTTTTCTCTCATTCTATACTGTACAATGCTAATGTCCACTGGATAAAAAGGTATTGAGTTTTCGAGTTTGTTAAACATTTTCTAAGTTTTATACTTATATTATTTTGATTTTGATTTAATCTAAGTGAAGTTATCTTTTGTTATAAAGGTTAGCTTATGTGATTTGATTGACAAAGAACGCTCATTTACAATCAAAAGTTACATGTTTTTATCATTTTTTTTTATCAAATATTATGGTTTTAATTTTTCTTCAAATTTATAGCGTAAGAATTCTTATTCAGTATACACATTTGTAGCATTAAATATTTATTTTGTTAAGAAATATTTTCTAATCTCTGACATTTCATGTAAGATCTTAAAATAATATTAAGCACTCAAAAAATAATCTCACACAAGCAATTCTAATTAAAAACTCCAAAACTCTTAAACTCATTAAAATTCTAATTAAAAATTAATACTAAATAAATGAGGAATAAAACGAGTTTTTCCCCAAACTAAGTCTTCCTACAAACTTATTTTTAAACCAAGTCAATTATAAAATTATTTCTCAAATCCAGTATATTTTAAAAACGTCATTTAAAATAACGCCTTCATGAGTTAATACGTTATTTAAAATGATAATTTTAAATTGAAATTTTTTTATTTAAATCGTCATTTGAAATGACATTTTTAAAGGCATCAGTAAAAATAACGTTTTCCAATGAGCTGGCATTCATTGGAAAAGTAGTGCGTAGAAGACTTAGACTTTTTACAATTGGAATTGGGATTACTCCAGTGATGTACCAATTTATACAAGTTAAAAAAAAAAAAAAAAAAACTTACTTAATTTGCCTCTCCGTATCTTCTGATATTCATGGTATGATGGCAAGAGACACGGAATCTGTTCTTTAACAGGTTTTTTTTTTTTTTGGGGGATCTGTTCTTTAACAGATTCACTGTAGTAAACTCATTGCTAGCTACGTTGCAATAGATCAAACCAAAGCGTGTAGAAGTTTTTGACAATCAAATAAACTGAAATAGGGAGCTTCTTCGTCTGATCACAAATAGGAAACAACGTAGTTTGCACTGACATAGAGCAATGTGATTTATAAGTACGGATAACTCCTGAATACAAAGAGATCAAAAGCTTTTGAGTAGTTTATAGATAATCTCCTACATCAGTTGGGATTTTACATGTCCACTAGGCATAAAACCGAAACACAGAAACTATTTACATCTTCAGGAATGCTCTTGTAGATATAATTCCATCATTTTCGCCATGTAAACTCGTCCTTCAGCACATGTTCCCAATCTGATGAAAAGCTGTCATCAGTGGCGGATCCACAGTGAGGGCTATGTATAATTTTAAAAAATTTAGAATTTATTATAAATTTGTCCCCACTGAATTTTTTTTTAAAAATTTAAAGGTAGTTATACTATTTTGACAAATATACGAGTTCTACTTGTAAATATCAATGGAATATGATATCAAAAATTTGGGCATTTAAAGTTTAACTAATATGCTACGAAATAAGTTAGCCCTTTCATTTGTTTTATGTTTATACATTAAACTAAATTTAGGGTTTGTAATCCTCTTATTTGTTTTATGTTTATATGTTAGAATTGAAAATTAGGGTTTGTAGTACTCTTTTGTAGTTTATTTTTTAAATGTTGAATTGAAATTAGCACCTGTAGCTCTCTGTTGTATTTTATTTGTTACATATTGAATTGAAAATATGAAATTGGGGCTTGTAATCATCTCTTATGTTTAATTTTTTATGTATTGAATTGAAACTAGGATTTATTGTATTGTATTTATTTTTCTATGTTGAAATAAAATTGGGGTTTATAGTCCTCTTTTATGATTTATTTTTTATATATATTTAATTTATATTTGGGTTTGTAGTTCTCTCTAGTATTTTATTTGTATATGTTGAATTGGAATTAGAACTTGTGGTCGTCTCATTTGTTTTATTTTTATTTGTAGAATTAGAATTGGGACTTGTAGTCCTCCATTATAATTAGATTAAATTATTTTGATTTGGTAGTTTGAATATTTTTATTGTGATAAGTTAAGTACTCCATATACATAGTTTATTGGAATAATTATAGTTTAAATTAATTTCGATTGTTTGTTAAAATTTAATGATGAATATTAGGTTTATGATCGAACAAATTAATTTTTGAATTAGTTATAAAAATTTTTCTTAAAATTTAATATATGTTTGAACTCAATTTTGTGGTTCAAAACCCAAGCCAAGCCAAGAAGAACGTTGAGTAGCCAGCCCACTGTTGTAAGATTGAAATACTGAGTCATCCTTGGCAGACACGCGGAACTCTCTGACATTATCATGATCAGAACCATCTCTGTATGACCCAAATTTGTCTCCACAACCATTCCCAGTGTCATGCTGCAGATGAGGAGGTCCCACACCCACATCCAAGCATCCATCCTCTTGTTGGTATTGAGAAAATGGCCAACAGTTTCCCTTACCTGCAAATCCAGCATGAACAACCTCTGGCAGTTGTTTCCCCGCCATATTTTTGGAATTTGAATTGTCTAGCTTGCTTTTGTCCATCTCAATTTTCATTCGCTCAAAGCGAGCTGTGTAACCAATGGAACACAATTCAGCTTCAGACTCGAGCCAAAGATTCTTATACAAGAGAGTTTGCGGCTGCCCTTCTTAAAATAATATTAAGTACTCAAAAAATAATCTCACACAAGTAATTATTTAATCAAAAGAAAAATAAAAGAAGAAATCAAGAAACAAAAAAAAAAAAAAAAAACTGAAGAAGACAAATATAGGACAGCCGCAAAGGTTCTGCCGAAAAAAAAAATTCAACCCCCAAAAGCTTCTGTCACCATTCATGAAGTACACTTATAAGTAAAGGTTTAAATACTAAAGAAATTTAAACCAATTAAAAAACTAATAATACCAATCCTATTTTAACTTTAATTAAACTATTCAAAATTAACTAGAATACTTTATGTGTCAAAACTCTTATATTCAATAAAACTCTAATTAAAAGCTAATTCTAAATAAATAAAAAATAAAATACTTCGAGATAGTTTGGATCAAATTCTAACATGTCAACTAAAAAGTATGAAACTTGATATAACGTCCGTAAAAAAAAAATGAGTCCAAATATATATATAATTGTCAATGGGTCCATTTATATTCTCGTCTAAGACCCAATTCTTGCTGGGACCCTGTTTATTTTAAAATTATTTAGTAAATAATGAAACTTTTTAAAAATGTGTTTGATAAATATACTTTCACACAAAAATATATTCTTGAAACATATTCTTTTTTTTTTTTAAATATTTATCGTTTTACACAATTTTTTTGTTTCATAATATTTGTTTTTTAATTAAATCAAAGTATAATTAATATTTTTTCTTTTAAATTTATTCTTAACTTTTCAATGCATTAGATTAGTTGGAAATTAAGTATCTTTCATATTCTTTTCCTTCTCAATACGTATTAAATAAAAGTATTTTAATCTTGTGTAATTATTTTTTACTTATATTAAAGTTATTTAATAAATTTTTTAATTCATATGTAAAAATTTTAAATAATAAATATTTAAGAACGGAGGAATTACTTTTTAATAGCACAACCAAAACGAAAGCATGTTAAGAAAAGCGTGTTTTAAAGACAGCTTTTAAGAAAATGTGTATTTCAAAAACGCTTTTTCTAGCATCTAGTCGAGTGTTAGGTGAGTTGTCGGTCTTTTGTTTGGGGGAGAGAGAAGAACAGAAGAGAGAGAATAAATGAGAAGAGAGACATTTTTGGTGATAATTATCTCTGACACAAGATACCAGCAAAGAGAGATATGGCACCGATTATAAGAAGTGTGGTTAATATACGTGCATGGTTTCAATAAAGAATAATATTATTGAAACTTAATTTATTGACTTAATTTATTATAATTTTTGGATTGATTATGATATCCATCAAATATTAAAATTTAATGTTAATCTAATGATTCTGCTGAATCCACATCATTATGTCAATAAATTAGGTTAAATTTTTAGGTCCAAATAATACTCCGTCTGTTCCTAAATATCTGTCATTTAAGATTTTTACACAGAAATTAAGGAAATTATTAAATAACTTTAATATGAGTAAAAACTAATTGCACAAGACTAAAATATTTCTATTCAATACGTATTGGAAAAAAAAAGAATATGAAATACACTACTAGCCTACACTTAATCTATTAAACACTTATTGAAAAACAGAGATAAGGGTAAATTTGGAAAAAAAATATTAATTATGCTTTAATTTCATTAAACGACAGATATTATGGAACACAAAAAATTATTCAAAACGACAGATATTTAGGAACGGAGAGAGTATTACTCTTCAATAAAATCGTATTTGTTATACCTTTTTTTTTTTTTTATAAAAACTGTAATTTTTAAAAATCATGTATTAACATTAAAAGTGTAATTGTTAAATATATTTTAAAAAAATATCATAATTTGATAAATAAATTTAAAATAATAATAAATTAGTATGTTTGTTTCAAAATGACAGAAAATAGATAATTAACTTGAAAAAATTGTGACAACTGTTATGATGATAACCATAGTAACAACGGTAGAGATAATAATGATGGTATTAGTGATAGTTACAATAATAGAAGTTATTGTGAAAAATGGTCATAGTCATTCACACTTTCTCTAGAATTTTATTTTATTTTTAACTGTATCATTTTGAGTTCAAATCTTGTAATATCATTAGATGGAGATTATTTCTGGTACACTATTATTTAATGTGCAAAATCACATATCATGTATAACTAAGCTCCTATCAATACATAACGGGTACCTATCTCTCTTTTTACTTTAATTTTAAATTACGCAATTTAAAAAATTAAATTATTATTTAAAATATAAATATTAAAAGATCAATTCGATTTTTGATATTATATAATTTCTTTAGATACAAGATTATTGTTAGAATTTGACAGGGACCAGTATTCAACAACACCAGTATAATGTATCCCCGAGTTATGTCTCCAAATTACATATAAAGTGTATTAGAGTGAATGAATTGAGTATAAGTCATGTCTCATGTCTAAATTTGTCCAACATATATCCGTTCCTCCGTCAATTCTATGTCTAGAATACCTTGTTTTTAGCCATATTCATACCGATCCTTTCATTAAAACAGATGCAAGAAAACTATCCGTTTACCAGAGGTCATACTCAAAAAAAAGAAAGCATGTACTATCCTATTCCAATCAATTCAACACAAAAGCTTGGATTCACAACAAAGAGCTTGAACGAAAATCATTTCAACATCCTTATTATCAAAAGGTAACTTGTAACACTATCGAGCAAAGATCAAAAAAAAGGAACTAGAAATAGAAATAGAACCCAAATGATGTGTTAGCTGACATGATAAATAAATCTTATAGTTTAAAAAATACAAGTGGAACCAAAAATATGTAACTTGTAACACTATCGAGCATATAACTCAGTTATGGAAGCCTCATTCACAGACTGACTTTCTAATTGATTGGCCTGAGTCACACCTGAGTTATACCCCCGATACAATGGCGTTTCTGAATCACTATTGTTGTTGAATATAAGAAATGCAGGCTCTTTGGGTACTGCCAGACTGAGAGAGCCGCTATTAAGCATCAACATAACTGAAGCCATAGTTGGTCTATCTGCTACATTTTCTTGAACACAAAGCATTCCAATATGGATGCATCTCATTATGTCTTGTTTTGAACATGAACGTACAATCAATTTGGGATCTACCAAATTTAAAGTCGTTCTATCTTGCCAATTTTTCCAAGCCTGCAAAAATGCAACATGTGAAACTATAAGATTTCTTTCTATTATAATTTATGCGGCTAGTAATGAGTCTTCCTTATTTAAACTTACACAGCTAAGGAGATCCTTTACATTCTCCCCTTGTCGCATAGAGTTGTTCTTTCGACCACTTAAAATCTCTAGAATTATCACGCCAAAACTGAAGACATCTGACTTAACTGAGAATTGTCCATGCATTATATACTCTGGTGCCATATAGCCGCTGTAATTATTCAATCATGGATAATAGCATTAGAGGTTGAAGACCGTTCTTAGGCTTGAAGACGTTCTTCAACTTAAGCCTCTTGTGTTTTTCCTTGGATATTTTCTAGAACCACTTAATTTGTATTTTCAAGATTAATTGCAAAGTTTTGTAAAACTTTTGTGCTATTCAATGATAGAGAAACAAAAGTTAAGAATCATTTCATACTTACTAAGTCCCCGCAATACGACTTGTAATGCCTTGAGTTTCATCAAGCACAGAAAGTCTTGCCATTCCAAAATCTGCAATTTTAGGGTTCATCTCTGCATCTAATAGAATATTACCAGCTTTGAGATCACGATGAATGATTCGATGTCGAGAATCTTCATGAAGATAAAGAAGTCCCTTAGCAATGCCTCCGATGATTTTGTAGCGCATATCCCAATCTAAATGTTCTCGTTTAGTTGGATCTACAACTCCAACCAAACACACAAATTAGGCAGAGATTGTTTAAATATTAGCAAAACAAATTTGAGATAAGGATATCAAATTGTTACTGATGTCTTAATTTTTTCTCTATTTGTCATTTTAACTATGTAAGGAGATTTGTATTATAGATTATGTTAATAAAGATAAAAACTTTAGAGAAGGTGGATTGTCGGAGGCTACATACCAAATATGAAACGATCAAGACTTCCATGGGGAAAAAACTCATATATGAGGAGTCTTTCTGTTCTTTCTAGACAGAAACCTAGGAGCCTAACCAAATTCCTGTGCTGAAGCTTTACCAACAATAACACTTCATTCTTAAACTCATTTTCACCTTGTAAGGAATCCTTGGACAACCTCTTCACTGCTATTTTTTTCCCGTTTTTAAGGATACCCTATAAATATATCAACACCAATATTAAATAAATTCACACTCTTAAGCAATGATATTTTTTTATTTGATGCAACTAGATAAATTTTCAAAAGGGAAAGTATTGTATTACCTTGTAAACAGCCCCAAATCCACCATGTCCAAGCTTGTTACTTTCAGAAAAGTTATCCGTAGCTATTTCTATTATACCAAAGTCGTACTTCAAGGTTTCTATGCTGGTGATTTCAACCTCGTCTTCAAATTTGGAAACGAATATTGTGCTAAATCAAATCAGAGTAGTATACGGCAAAAGCTATGCATTACAATATTAGCAAACATAGGTCATATATTCGACTAGTGTTACTATTTTTTTTTTTTAATCCTTGATGATAGATATATGAACTTCTGAATCCATTCCACTCTTAAATTTTCATGCATTAACTACTAGTTCATTGTAGATATTTCAAGTGACATTCTCTTTTAGTGTACCAAAGATTTTGACATGTATAAACTAGAGCATGCTGATTAGTATACCAATGATACTATTGGAACCTCATTTGTTGATCTAATTCATCGCAACCATTGAATTGATATTGGACCTAACAAATACTGAAATATACTATTAATCTAATGGTTATGAACAAATTAAGTCAACCAATTAAATCTTAATATACATGGTTGACAATATTTAAAACTA